TTGTAAAATTTTCTGCCAAAAATGAACTTAGGTGAATTAATTTCACGAGGAATCTATTATATTATAAAAAATTCTAGTCACTTCCAACCCATTGGGCAACCCAATAATATAATGTATTTCTCATTCTCAGCCAAGTCCTTCAGTACTCTAAATTTGACTCTACCACACCTTGGTAAAACTGTTATAGAAAGTAATGCTTTTCTGTCTTTCATCTTGGATCTATGCTAGATTTTCTGTTTATCTAGAAACTTAGAAGGGGAAGAGAAGCTGTGTTTCTTAAATACCTGTTTGCAATTCCTGGTAACACATACATCCAGAACAAGATCCCATAGGTTAACATACGTTCATCGGTGTTGTTTTGGCAGTTGTACAAAGTATATGTTTGATCTCTATTTGCAATTTAGATTGCCCGTGACCTAAGCAATATTTTGGTATATACAAAGTCAGCTTTCTTTACAAGCCTGTGGTCCATGTAACGTGTTTCCCTTAGAAAATTCTGAAACCTCATCAAGGAGACCAGTAGAGTACTAGCAGTTAATTTTGGTTCGAGTTGAAAGGAATGGTAGCCTGACCATACAAAGCTGGGAGGGGTGGCTGACACACCAGAAGGCTGTGCTGCCCCACAGTGAGACCTGGACAGGCTGGAGAGTTGGGCAGAGAGGAACCTGATGAACTTCAACAAAGGCAAGTGCAGGGTGCTGCATCTGGGGAGGAACAACCCCCTGCACCAGGACAGGTTGGGGGTGACCTGTGGAGAGCAGCTCTGAGGAGAAAGGACCTGGGAGTCCTGGTGGACAACAGGATGCCCATGAGCCAGCAATGGGCCCTTGTGGCCAAGAAGGCCAATGGCATCCTGGGGGGCATCAAGAAGAGTGTGAGCAGCAGGTGGAGGGAGGTCATCCTGTCCCTCTGCTCTGCCCTGGGGAGGCCCCAGCTGGAGCACTGGGACCAGTTCTGGGCTTCCCAGTTCCAGAAGGACAAGGAACTAGCTAGAGAGGGGACAGCAGAGGCTACAGAGAGTGATAAGGGGCCTGGAGCATCTCTGTGATGAGGAAAGGCTGAGGGACCTGGGTCTGTTTAGTCTGGAGAAGAGAAGGCTGAGGGGGGATCTGATCAACACCTATAAATCCTTCAAGGGTGGGTGTCAGGAGGATGGGGCCAGGCTTTTTTCAGTGGTGCCCAGGGACAGGACAAGAGGGAACGGGCACAAACTTGAACATAAGAAGTTCCACCTAAACCTGAGGAGGAACTTCTTTGCTGTGAGGGTGGCAGAGGCTGCCCAGGGAGGTGGTGGAGTCTCCTTCTCTGGAGACATTCCAACCCCACCTGGACACGTTCCTGTGGGACCTGCTCTGGGTGGCCCTGCTCTGGCAGGGGGTTGGCTGGATGATCTCCAGAGGTCCCTTCCAACCCCATAGCATTCTGTGATTCTGTAAGCTCTGTGTGATCAGTGCAACGTGGAAGACAAGATCTATAATTATGGATCATTTCTTTCAAGGTCCTGAAAGGTTTGGTGGTAGCTCTAATTGGTGTGTTACAATTGCAATACCTTATAAGTGTTACCTGGTGCTTTAAAGCTGCTCTTGAGTATATAACCCTGAGTCTTCTGAATTCATAGATACAGCAAAGAGAAATGAACAGCTCAGAAAAACTGTGTCAGAATACTAAGAAAGTTTGCATAGGATTGAAGAACAGATTTCTCTTTTTTTTATTTTTTTTTTTTAATTTTATTGTTGTTTCTCTCTCCTGCATCCCAAACACGTTCATGGGATTTATATCCCCCCTAGGAATTTGTTACATTCCAACATAAGCTTTTCAACTGCACCAGGTAGAGCAGAAAATATATTTCAAATGGCATCGACGTGCATCTTCCCAATAGAAAACTTTCTCAAAACCTTCAGTAAGTTTTCCTGCTGAGAGCAGCCACCAGCGAGCCGTGTTAATCAGTTCTGCTTTATAAAAGCAAACAAGGTGGGGAGGAAGTAATGAGACCCTGAAACATCTGTTTGGAGACTTCCAATCCCCTTAGAAGGTTTTGAGTTCTGCCTTAAAAAAATACAACTCCAAAAAATTACAGCCGACTGTGGGAACGTTTTCTAGCTCTTTGCAGAAAAATTAATTGCGTAAATATTAGTCTATAAAAAGTAAATTCCCTCTGCCCTTTTCTCCAGTTTTGCTTCTGGTCTAAAGGTGTGATCCTGCCTGACATTGCAAACATTCTTTCAGCAAAGAGAAACTAGAATCAGATCCATCCTGGTTTTGCTGAAGGAAGAAAACCAGCTTTGATTGTTACGAGGCCATAGATAATCATAGATATTACAGTGTTAATAAAGAATCTTAGAGTTAGAACAGCAGGAATGCTGTCTTTTAATAACAGTGAAAAGCACACCGCTGTGTGTATTTTACACAATTAATATTTATTTAACTGCTTTTTAAAGTTAAAAGGCTCCGTAAAATGATTTCTCTCTACTTAGTGGTTCTGAACTGTTGTCTGATGTGAAAATGAAACCTGAAATCTGTGTTCTCACTGCAGCAGAGGGGTTAGCTGTTCTGCTCCATTTTAATTCTTAATCTACTTCTGGTTTTCTTTTTAAATCAGTTGCCGCCGAGTTCTGAATAATACGTTTCTCTTATGAATGAGGCAGAAGGAAAAGAATACTGAGGGAAAAGAATACTGATACTTCTGGTTTTCTTTTTAAATCAGTTGCCGCCGAGTTCTGAATAATACGTTTCTCTTATGAATGAGGCAGAAGGAAAAGAATACTGAGGGAAAAGAATACTGATGTCTTTATGCTTAGCACGTGTTGTTTGCTTTATTTAGTGCCTTTTTGGTATTTTAGGAAGGCAGACATTATTTGTTCTTACCTGTTTATGTAATTTTTCTGCTTTTTCAGTTGGACATAACATACATTTTGTTCTATGTTTTTGGGAATCGGCCTGTTATCCAGCTGTTAAATCCTACCAGGGAGAGAAATAAGGAGAGGGAAGTGATTCTGTTCTAGAGTGAAATTGCTTTGCATTCTCTGGATGACAAGCTCCAGAGAAGTGTAATTTTTGGACACACTCATCAGTCTCCTTAATAAAATTTTGAAATGCTTGGAAGTAGTGAGGCTTATGGTTGCTAATGGTTTCTTACAATTAGAAGTAATGCACCAGAGAGCACTTGTGTCTTCCCTAATTTGCTTATTTAATTGTAACGTGGATTTATTTTTTTTCATCTTAAATATTGAACAGAACTTTTCCGAAGAACCTATTTTACAAACTATGCACAGAACAGAGTTTTAGTGCCAATGTTTTGGCTGTAGATCTTTAGTTCTGAATCCTGTAGTTTACACTCATGGGAAAGCACAGGGTAAAATATGCATGAGTGTGTGCAAATTTCCTTGGGAATTAGCATTTTCCCTACTTGTAAACTTTCATGTACACTGTTATTTATCCTAGAAATGCTCCAGCACAAAGTGCACGTGTAGGAATCATGCTTTGTCTTCTGTAAGACAAACTTGTTAACAACAGCTAAACGAGAGTTATTTTTGGTTCCTCTTAAAGTCTATCCCTCCAAAAACTTGGTGTTCCTTCAGTAGCTTAATATTCTAAATAATATTATTTAATATTCTCATAGCATGTGATTAAAACCAGCCTGTCTGTAGAGCCTTTTTGCTATTTAAGGAATCCATAGCAAGAGGAGAATAGCGCTTGCCCAAAGGTGTATGTTGTCTTCAGCTGTTGTGTTCTGGCTCTGAAAACTTCTTGAGCTTCCAATTATTGAGAAAATGCCTTTCGTTTGAATTGTTTTATGATCTAGATGCAAACGAATACTCCTATGGTTGATACTGAACCATAGGGAAACTGCAAATTCAATTACCTTCTGGACATTTCAAGGTGCTGGAGTTCCTTGAAGAAAAATTAGGTTGTAAAAATTGGCATCTCTTGGGCCAAAACACTTGAACTGCATTTATTGGCAAAGCGTGTTTCCTGGTGGCTTGGATGGGGTCCTGCAGGATCATTTGATGGTTCCAGGCGTTTAAAAAATATGTTTATGTGTCTAACAGAGAATCAGATAAGTCAGCCTTTTTATTTCCAAGACTCTGCATTTCTTCCAGCGTTTCTGTCTAACACAGAAACTGGGACAAGATTAAAACTTGCCATCCAGGACCTTCGCTAGAAAAGAACTCATCCCTGAAATTCAGTGCATTTGTGGATGAGAAAAATCACATGCTTCATTTCAGCAGTTTTACACTGCCTGGGTTAATGATTGTAATGAATGGGCATGTGCATGTACTTTTATGAAAACAACTTAATATTTACTTGGATAAATAATATTTGGGTTCTGAAAGACTTGGGAGGGTATTAGTTTGATAGGGTTCATGAGTGCTGAAGTTCTCTAGCCGATCAGCTCTCTAATATTGATGCTAAAAGGGGACTTGTAAGTTCTGCCTTTTAGGCTGTGTGCTTTTATTTGGATATTTAGCTGCACTATGGATTCTTTTGCCTTGGAAAAACTGAGTATAACAGCAGTTTCTTCTGTTCTACAGTCATAGAATCATAGGATGGTTCAGGTTGGAAGGGACCTTAAGGATCATCCAGTTCCAACCCCCTGCCCTGGGCAGGGACACCTCCCACCACACCAGGTTGCTCCAAGCCCCATCCAGCCTGGTCTTGAATGTCAAACCTCTTTTGACATTTTTCAAGAAGAAAACATAAGATAAAAGTGTGAAAGTAACAGATTCCTTCAAGTATTTTCATTATCTTTAATCACTTGCAAAATAATGCTGCTGCTTCTCTTTATTGACCGTAAATCCTATTTTTTTGGGGGTGGGGTTGAATTTGAAGCCTTTGTGCTCTATGGAAATATCCTAGCTATAAACATTTAATTTCCTAATTTAATTTCCACCTGACTTGTAGACCGCGTGGAAGAGATTGTGCCTGACAAACCACAGTTTATTGATTATTAAGCACTGGTTCTGTGTGGGACTGAAAGTCAACTTATATTCTCTTTACAGGCAAGGTGGTTCTGGGAAGCCTATTTTCGGTCAATGAAAGCAATTGCTCTTGCTACTCTGCAGATTATCAATGATAGAATTTACCCCTACGCTGCCATTTCTTACGAAGAGTGGAATGATCCTCCAGCTGTGGTAAGTAAATCCCTTTGACTGATTCATAAAACAAATTGTGGGTTTATTTTTTGGTTGGTTTTTTTTTTTCTGTATGAAAGGTACGTGCTATGAAACTTGGTAATGATTCTGTGTATGTGTGTTTGTGTGTATGTTGTGTTTGTGGCTCAAAGTCCAGATGGAATGGCTCAAAGTCCAGATGGAAACCAGTCACAAGTGGTGTTCCTCAAGGGTCCGTGCTGGGACCGGTGCTGTTTAACATTTTTATCAATGATATAGACAGGGAGATTAAAGGCACCATCAGCAAGTTTGCGGACGATACCAAGCTGTGTGGTGTTGTCGATACACCAGAGGGATGGGATGTCATCCAAAAGGACCTGGACAGGCTGGAGAGGTGGGCCCAGGTGAACCTCATGAGGTTCAACAAGAGCAAATGCAAGGTTCTGCACCTGGGCCGGAACAATCCTCGCCACCAATACAAACTGGGGGGTGAGGGATTGGAAAGCAGCCCTGAGGAAAGGGACTTGGGGGTGCTGGTGGAGGAGAAGCTGGACATGAGCAGGCAGTGGGCAGCTGCAGCCCAGAAGGCCAATCCCATCCTGGGCTGCATCAAAAGAAGCGTTGCCAGCAGGTCCAGAGAGGGGATTCTGCCACTTTACTCTGCTCTGGTGAGACCTCACCTGGAGTATTGTGTGCAGGTCTGGAGCCCTCAATATAAGAAGGACATGGACCTGATGGAGAGGGTCCAGAGGAGGGCCACAAGGATGATCAGGGGGATGGAGCACCTCTGCTACAAGGACAGGCTGAGGGAGCTGGGGTTGTTCAGCCTGGAGAAGAGGAGGCTCCGGGGAGACCTAATAGTAACCTTCCAGTACCTGAAGGGAGCCTACAGGAAGGCTGGGGAGAGCCTGTTTAGAAAGGCCTGCAGTGACAGGACGAGGGGCAATGGCTTCAAGCTGGAGGGGAACAGATTTAGATTGGAGATTAGAAGAGGGTTCTTCACTGTGAGGGTGGTGGAGCACTGGAACAGGTTGCCCAGGGAGGTGGTTGAGGCCCCATCCCTGGAGATATTCAAGGAGAGGCTCGACGAGGCCCTGGGCAACCTGGTCTAGTTGGGGGTGTCCCTGCTGACTGCGGGGAGGTCGGACTAGATGGCCTTTGGAGGTCCCTTCTGGCCTGGGAAATTCTATGATTCTCTGTGTTGTGTTGGAGACTCACACAGATCGAAGCTAATACATTTGATGACAACTGGCAAAAGAACTCACAGTTCATTTTATGTCCTGGTGGTGAAATGCAAACTTTTGCTATTGCACGCACTAAATTGCTTGCTTTTTTGTGTACTTATTTATTTTTCATGCACACACACACTTCTTCTGTTGAATTTAGCGGGAGTTTAGTGCTCTTAAAAATGAAAAACTGCAGTGGAAATAGTTGGTGGAAAGACTGAAGATCTTAAACAATCTGCAAGGCTCTTTTGTGTAATTCTGATGAAACCGCTAATTATTCCTATGCCTACGATTTTCTCCATGTTATTTCTATGTTATTTCTCTTACATAGAACCTGATGATCAAAGTTTTGCTGCGGTATTTTTTTTCTTAAAAAAAAAAAAAAAGTTTCACCGCTTGAACCCTACCTCTGCTAAGAAGAAACACTGGAGTATTAATTAACCTTCTGCACCAAGCAGCTGGTTCTGATTTTTTTACCATATAAAAGCCTGCGGATGATTTTCACCCATAATCAGTTAATTTTCTCTGTGTCAAAATATAAAAAATAGTTTTATTTTACTAATAAACCCAAACTTGTTAACTGTCTCACTTTGTGCCAGTGGAGAGAGAGTTTCTCTGAAGGCTTTGTAGAGTTCTTTTAAAAGCTCAGGAGCTTTTTTATTTTACTTCAGTGTGTTTTACCGTAGAGTTTTTTTAAAAGCTTTTTTATTTTACTTCAGTGTGTTTTACTTCAAACTCTTCAGGCTGAGGGTGAGGAGTCACTGACAGAGTTAGAAGCTCATTGCTGGGTTTCAGAAGATGATTTTCCATTTCCAAAGGCATTAGTAACCTACGGCTGTCGTTGCCTGGAGAGCAAACGTGGTGCTTGTCAATATTTAAAGAGGAAATTAAGCTGCACAAGAAGTATGGACTCTGCAAGAATGGGATGGGAACATCTTACCACCTTTACACCTTAACAGCCAAGTGAGCGCCTTGAAACGCTGAGTAAAATGAAAAAAAGAGTTTTAGAGATTACTCAGTCTTTAAAGGGGACACAAAAACATCTCCTGAGTTCTCACCTATCCTGGAAAGCCATCCGTTTCTGGGGAAGCTAATCTTCCTCTGAGCAGCAAGCAGGCTCTTTTTGTTTTGTTGGTTTGTTTTTTTTTTTTAATATATACTTGGAAAAAAACAGCCTAGAGGTTATTCAGAAGAAGTTTTTATGACCACAGACATACGCAACAGAACTCTGAAATGGGGAGTGGGGGGAACATGTAATAAGGATACTGCACTAGGGCAGTACAAGGAGTAAGCAGGAATATTCTCTGGATATGCAATTGCCAAGAAAATTTAGAAAGCTGACTGCAATTAGACAGGCTGGAATTTGTCCAGGACGTTAACACCTCGTATCATGCCGCTCTCATGCCACCAATGGTCAGTTCCTTGGTGGTTTTATGTCTCAGTTGAAAGAATTTGATGTTTATCCTAGCCTATGAAAATTGCTTAATATGTGCATGAATTCATTTCTTGCTTCAATATGAAACAGAAATGTCATTAAAAGTTCCTTTATGGGCTGTGTAAGCTCCGCATTAGCCAGCAACACCGAGTGCTTGTGACCCTTTCTCAGAGGGTCAGCTAAAGAAAATAGAATTCAGATCAGGAATTGTTCAACAGCAGTTAAATTCGTAGGACAACAGTACACAGTCCTGTGATATCTTTAACTGGGAATTTTGATAGCTACTCGGAGCATGTATGAACATTTCCTTTCACAGGGCTCTTTTTTCTTTTTCTTCTCTCTTATTTTTTTCTTTTTTATTTTTTTTTGAGCCAGCTAATACTGTTTGATTTTCACCCTTGTTCTTTTTTTTTTCTTTTTTCCGAGTCAGCTAATACTGTTTGATTTTCACCCTTGTTCTTTCATTCAAAGCAAGTAACTGGAGCCTTCTCTGATTTATCTTTGAGATATTTTTTTTTTTTTGAATATATTTGATCTCTTTGAGGTGAGAGCATATTACAGTTGTGGTCTGTAGGGGAGCATATTTTTTGGGACTCAGCTGATTTCTAACTTCAGACAGTTTAGGTGGTGATGATATATACAGTATCTGCTAGTAAATATAAATTTAGTAGTAGTTATTATCATTTTTTAAAAAATAATTGTGCTGGTCAGAATTCCACAGTTGGTGTCTGTTTGTCAGGGGAATAATGATCCTCTTGAGCCTGAATGTTTCTCATCTAAGCTCGTGTCTAATGCCCGACCTTATAGTTGGAAAGCAGGTACAGATGTACATTTGAGGTAGCAGAAGATGGCAACCGTATCCTCTAACTCTGATAAGAAGACAAAATAACGAAAGCTGACTTGAATATGTTCCTTATTTACAAGAAAATTGCCGTATTCTTCTCTAAACCAAACTCCAAGACTGAAGCGTTTAAAGAGAATTATTTCGGGTTGGCCCCAGGGCCAGGATGTTGGTAACTGTTAAGATGAAGCACCTGGGAGTTAAGATGAACGCCACAGTGAAATGTGTGAGTAACTGGGTGTCATAAATTCCTACATTACTGGCCAGAACTGTCCCTCCACAACTCAACGTGTCTATTCTGCCTTCAAACTGGGCTGGTTCGGCACCCAGTTCCTCCAGCTCTGCTCGTTGTTCCTCCTGATGTTGTGGTCAGTAAGGACTAAATGCAGGGCTCTTATAGAATCGTGGAATGGTTTGGGTTGGAAGGGACCTTAAAGATCATCTAGGCCCATCTCCTGCCCTGGGCAGGGACACCTCCCACCAGACCAGGTTGCCCCAAGCCCCATCCAGCCTGGCCTTGAACCCCTCCAGGCATCCACAGCTTCTCTGGGCAACCTGTTCCTTTTCCCATATCTGAGGGGATGGTTGTTATCTTGGACAGTTGGCATGAAAGTGATATTCACACATTTAAAATCAGTGCTCCTGGCTAGATCTGCGTATATATCCACTTTGTTCCTTTTCCTCATGTATTTCTCATCTCAACACAAAGGGACACCAGCCCACCTTGTGCTGTGTCTGTCGTTTCCCAAACATTTTAAACCACTCTAAGCAGGTCCCGTTGCCCAAAGAGGCAGCTCTTCACTCTTCTGCAGTTGGATGATGATTTTTCTTTCTCCCTGTCCTACCTTCTTTTTGAATTTTCTGATTCATTTGTGGTGAATTAACTGATACAATTTTCAGTGTCTAAAACTCAGGCAGCCAAAGAAAAGGAAAAAAAAAAACAAACCAAAAAGGAGGGGGGGCAAGGGAGGGACTGAGTGGCTGGAAGGCTGCTTTTCTGGCATTAGTTTGGCTTATGTTGGCTCCAAATATTAGTGAGACTGTTGATTGAGTATCCTCACCCCAGTGTGGATACAGCAGCCGTGGAGGAGGGTGTTTTTCCAGCAGGAGGGACTAAAACGTCCACAGAAGATAAACGCAGATGCAGTTAATTCTGAACTTAGTACAGAACATCGAGGAAATGATCCCAGAACTTTTTGTGTTCGTATGGGTTGACTGAAGAGTGTTGGCCCTTCCTAAAGAAAAAAAAAATACTTTATAAAGTGGATTGTTTTCTTGTCCACTGCTCTGTTGAGGAAGGGGAAGACTAGTAGTATATAACATGCTAATATGTTATAGAATAGTGCTTTCAAGAAAAACACCCTACAAGATCATAGAATGGTTAGAGTTGGAAGGGACCTTAAGATCATCGAGTTCCAACCCCCCTGCCATGGGCAGGGACACCTCCCACTACAGCAGGTCGCTCTCTTATAAAAAGAGATATTTCCTCCTTTTAACAAAGAGGGGCAAATGATGTTTT